CACTCAGTTCTCAATATCTTCTCGGTGCCTCAACATAAGGGAATATATTCTCATTATTTGTAAACATTACCATTTGCATGTATTCACATTCAACCCTTCTTGTAGTGAAGAATAAAATTTCGATGGAGAAAAGAAACAATAAATAAATAAATAGTGTATATACTTTATACCTTTCCTAGCGTTTTTGGTCAAATACTTATACCACCCCTTGGGTTTACCTAATAACTTTTAGTCCCTTTCATTTAAGAAGAAGAAGCTTATACCCAACCCCTTTGACAAAAGTCGGCAGATATGGGATTTTACCAAAGAGTTCTTAACAAAAAATAACAATTTGCCTTCCAAACATGTGTTTTTTGATTGACAAAATTGCCCTCACTTATAAACACTAAAGACAGTTTTACCATCTCATCACTCTATTCTTTCTCACTTCTCACTTTATAGGTCATTATTACATCCAATCCGGATTGGATTGGACCAAATCCGGTCCAATTGATGCCCCAACTCTGGTGGATATTTTGGAATTCTTGGACGAGACATAATTAAACTAGCTAGATAGTTTTCCTGAGGGAACTGCACAAACTATACTTTTGGAAACTGAGGTCAATGAGGGTGTGAAACGCTTATGAACTGCACAAACTATACTTTCCAAGTGAGATGAGCATGAATAACTTTTGAATAAATGCAAGTGGTCCTGCTTCTAACCCTAGCTCAAAACCCTTGGTTAGGCTGTCATCCTAGGTTCAGGACTCAGGTTGATTTTAACTTGGGACCCATTTAATGGCAGTCCTGATTCTTAAAACAGAGGCCATGTAGCAAGTTATGGGGGCCCATATATACGTACACGGCGCACATTCAGGTCATGTATCCCCAGACCCAAATCCAAGGTCAGAACTGGACCTCCAATCCATGGATACTTCAGGTCCAGAAGATTAGATTAAATAATGTACTGTAATAATTATGGTTTTCAAAACCGGACCGGACTGGATAAACCGGGAATCAATCAGGTGATTGGTTCCGTTTTATCCTAGAATTGTTATTTCCCTTAAAATCGTTGATTTGGTCAGCAAACCGCTGACCCGGGCAGTCAAACCGTTCAAATTATTCAACGGTTTGGCCGGTTTTTATTTATTTTTTAATTTTCGTCAGAATGGGCCATCTGTTTAGTTCGAACGATCGGAACATTTGACCTGAGAACTGGACCCCTGACCGGTTTATTATCCGGGTCAATTTTAAAAACCTTAGTATTAACTTTTTAGAGTCAATGATACACTAAATACAAGGATTTATGATAATTGACCATATTCGACAGTTAATACCCTTCCCAGAGATGACATGTTCAAAGCTTGAAAGCTGAAACAGTTTAATCCATCAATATCACCCCTTTGAATTGGGTGATTTGTAATGTTAAAGGCAATGATTTGCTTTGTATTGTAAAGAAAGAATCCACCGTCACCAATTCAAAAATGTAAGGAGGTATGATTCACCATGCAATGATTTAAGGTACTTTGATTGCAAAAGAATAGATTAAATAATGCATCAAATGGAATGCACCATCATTAGCATATGCAAATCAATCTTCTTAGGAGTAATGACTAATAAGCCTCATGTGTAAGCACTGAGCTGAAATCTTTAACCAGCAGCTGCTCTTTGACGCAATCTTCATTAATTCTTTTTCTTAAGCATTTTGGAGAAAAGCATAATTCAAACCACCATGGTTTATGAATTCAGTCAAATGTGATTCAGATAACATATTGTAATTCAGTCACTGGTTGGGTAAAAGTGACAAAAAGTAGAAATAAAGAAAGAAAGAAAAAAAGAATCTCTATTCTTAACTAATGACTTTCCCCGGGGCAAATTACTTTTAGTAATATACTTATCGATTGTCATTTTTGGTTTCTATCACTTAAAAGTGTAGATTAAAGAAGGGATGAGTGACAAGAATCAAACATCAGAGAAGGTCAATCACGCCAAAGAAACTTCTGTATTGTTTTCTGTTTTTTTTTTTTTTTTTGAATTTTTACAAACCTTAAAGTCTAAAGAGGTATTATATTTAGTCCCAAAAGTTAGAAAGTGCAAAGCACCAAACAAGAAAGACATACCATCTGTCAATCCTCTTATGAAAAATAATTTTATGTGGCCCACTTTTTATCACAGCCCTCCACTTTTATCTCAAATGGGGCCTTATCTCCTTATCCTACTCATCTTTCTCCCCTTATAGCCAAGTGGAAGAAGCAGAATCACCCAATCTTGATAATCTATTAATTGGTAGACAACCTTTTGCACTAACATTGTTCTCAGCCATGAAAGTTATCTTTTACTGGACATTTTCCCCAATAAAAAGGAAAAGAATAAGAAAGGGAAATCCCTAGAAAGGAAAAATAATTTTAGGGGTGCAATTGAACCGAGCCGAGGCGAATTTTAGTACGAATTGGTTTGATTTGATTAAAATATTATTAGATTCGAGTTTGAGTTCGAATTCATCTCAAAAGCTCGAAAATGAATATTTTTGCAATATATATTATATTCTATATTTATAATATATATTATATTCTTGTATTATATAGAATATAAAAATATATTTTCATAGTACATATTATAAAATATATTTTTATATTTTATAATATATGTTTGTATGTATGTTTATACTAATCTAACCAGACTTTTTAGCTTTAAACGCGAAATTTTTATTGGCTGAGTTTAAGTTTGAATAACTAATTGAACTTACCTCGAGATTCAAAGTCAATTAGAGCTCAATTCAATGCTTTATACTCCCCTAACACTACTCTTCTCAGTAGGGATATCAATAGATAGGGTTTAATGAGGGTTTGTCTCAATCTGAACCCCAACCTTAACTGATCCAATTAACCTGACTATATAATAAGAGGGGATACTGAATCCACCCGCCCCATTTTATATGTACTACTCAACCAAGCTCATATTTACAAATATTTCAGTGCTACAATATCAACAGATCAGATTAGTATAAATTCATCTAATCATTTTAATCTGAACCCAACCCGAAACCTATTAAGGCTTAACCCATTACGTAAGTGTAGATTTTCCACTTAACCTAGCCCACTGACATATCACTACTTGTCGGTATCTTTAATTTGGTTGGTGCTGTACGTATCTTAATTGATTAATTAGTAGTAGTTCTACATATTTTAATTGGGTCAGTCAAATAATTTTTCTTTTCAATATATTCATTCCAATTGTTCTGTAACCACTTTGCGAAAAAACAATTAGATTGCAATCTTTTATCCATATTGGTGAAGCATATTGAGATTCTAAATAACCTACATTTAGCATTAATTCTTGACCTTAACCAAAAAGATCGTTTGAATATATTGAAAATCTTAAGATTCAAATATTCGAGTTCAATGAATTTTACAGAGACATTAATTTGGTCCATTCTATTACATTACCCATAAGAAAAATGTTAATATTCTTAGGCATCGGCTTCAATTCATCACAATGTTTTCAACCCGTTGTTTGACTTGCCACCCAGCCGTAATTCCGGTTTGATTCAACCTCTGACCCATTTAATTAATCACAAAAAACCATTTGACTCGACCAATAATCAATTGACCCGAATGCTTAAACCGTTTCTGTTCAGCTCTCACCCAATAACCAAGGTTAATTATATCGCAATCAATATACTGGGGTGTATGGGACGTTTTGTATCATTTCTGGCTACATCCTGATATGTTAAATTTTGATCAGTTTTTGTTGTTTACAAGGGGCAGGCCTTACTTAGACAGGTCCCCTGTAAATTTTTGAATAAAACCTTGATTCTTGGGTTACTGCTGATACTTTGAATTTTGATTGAAACAAACGATACTTTTTTTATAACAAAATAGACATCACTTATTCACTTTAAAATAATGTTCCGATCAAAAATCGGCCTAAAGGCTCAACCATTTTTATTTCTGAATCGTGGGTCATCGGTTCAATTATTTACATCAAACATTAATGATTTACTCTCTTAAATTGGATGGTTTTTTATCTAGGTCTTTTGGCCAAATAAGGAATTAACGTTTCATATAAATCGAACCCAAAATCATAACTAAATCATGGTTCAAACGGTTCAATCGACGGGATCAACAGAAAACTCTTTGGAGGTTGGTAGGGTGCGATAATTATATTTGAGCATGTGGACAGACATATAACCTATAGATCCAACCTAGCTTGCTTTTTTCAAGTCTACATATCACCAATAAATCCAAGCTTACTTTGTGCAAGTCCGCCCCACAGAAACAAAACAGACCAGGAACAACTAATCTTATCATCTTCTTACAAATGTCACCTATATATATTTGGGTCTCTCTCTCACACATACAGAGAGCTTTAGACAAATGGGTCAAGGTCAGAATTGGTATCTACAGCGATATGAATAGGCATGCTTTTGCTTTTGACCAGGATAATGTACCTGCTGGAATAATAAACCAGAGTTTGGCCCCCAAATTATTGGCCGGTGAAGGGCCCCTTCCGGCCACCCGCGCCAAAACTGGCTACTTACTTCCAGGATTGGATTCGCTATCCAGACCTGGGACCAGGCTAAAAACCACCCCATTAAAGTCAGAAACTGAAGAAAGTGGCTGATCTGATCTAATCCCACATGGGAATTTTCTTTAATTTCTTTCCTAAGTGTAAGCTCGAGATCTGTGGTGATCCATGGAATTAATGGTGGTCTCCATGTGCACCACGTTTAGCTGATATGAAATCAGCAAACCATCCATGGTGTCTACTTCAGCTGAGTTACATTTAATTTGATCTCTCATATATAAAGAAAAGGGGGTCCCTACCTCAGAAAAAGGATGGAAAATGGGCAGTGCTGACGGTTAATGCATGGTTAAGGAATAAAGCTGAAGGGCTCCTCGTCCGGTAGTTGAAGAATCAACAAAGTGATCTGCAGACTCCTTACGCTTTGGTTTTTTATTTACATCTCTTCTCGCCTCGCATCCATGGAAAAAGCTTTAAACTACGCAAAAGCATATATAGAAGAGAAAAAAAGGTGACCAAAAGTATTGAAGAGCTGTTATGCATTCCACGTCCCAAAGTGTGAATTGCTTTCCCTTCAACCAATGAGGAACGCTCTGCCCTACATTAACTTATAAGTAGAATTAACAAATTTATCCTCACCCATCTCTAACATAACAAACATAAATTACTGAAGAAAAGTTACAAAATAGATGAGAGAAGCGTTCTCCCTCCCCTCTCCACATCAATGGCAGCTTCTTCTTCTTCTTCTTCTTCAGCTTCATTAGGTTGTGTATTGTTTGTTGCATTCTCTACCGACAATGACGGATTTGATGATGAATCAATGCAGTGCAGTCAAATGGGTCAGCTTTTTTGTGGGGTATTTTATTACCCATCAAACGATTATTAGTGCAGCATCAAGAATCTGTCGTTTGGATAAATGGGTGTCTAATGTACTGGTTTAGATTCTCATTTTGCCTGTTAAAGTGCAAAATTAAGAAACTATACACTACAAAGTCCCATGTATAGCCCTTATTCCCCTAAAATATATATATATATATGCATGCACCCCATTTTGTCTAGAATGGTCTTCTCATTAAGACTCCGAAGGTCAATAAATATACATATACCCAATATCCAATGCTTTCATATTCCTTGTTTGTTGCCTGCTTCATAAATACCATTTAAAAAGAAAAGGAAAAGAATCAGATTACTGCTCATGATAATCCAAAAGTTCTAAACTAGCTACAGCCAAACAACCCGTCCCATATAATAAATACAACTGCATTAAGATTTTGAAGAAGAAGAAGAAAAATGTAACAATATTATAATTATATACAACTTGTTTGTTGCATTGATTTTACATTGTTGCCCTTGGGCCCTTCTTTTCCTTTCTCATTCCACCCCCCACCCCAACAAAAAAAAAAAAAAAAAGAAAAGAAAAGAAAAACCCAAGTGAAATATGATGAAGTTTGAAAAACAAATATATATAAAAATTATCATAAAAAAAATTTATGGCCTTACCCGAGTAGCAGAGGAAGTAAGAGAAATGGTAGCTGAAGAAGTTGATGATGTAGTCGCCAATGTTGAAAGGCCAACATTATAAGCCATGGTTCCATCTGGTTGATAGAGACCATAGTTCCGCTCCGACGTTGGTCCAGGCTTCATGTCTTCATTGAACAAAGCAAACAGATAAACATCTAGTCTCTGATTAGGTCTCAAAGGGGTCCCTTCATTCCCCAACTGTCTTCTCAACAAATTCCTGTTGTAAACTGCTGCATTTTCCACAGTTGCACCAACTTCATCTGGGTCCCCTTTTGATGGCCATCCAGTCTCTGAAACTCTAACTTCCAACCCACCATAACCCATTCTAGACACAGCAAAAACAACAGCATCGACTTGTGCATAGAGCATGTTATCATAACGTAGCTTGGTGTAAGGATCAACCATTCCTTCATTTGGGTTGAAAAGCACATAGTCCAGAGAAACCCTGAATGGGTCATCCTTGTAAGCGAAGTATGGGTAAGCGTTGATCCAGAAGGGTGATCTTGTGGTTGCCAAGAAGTGCAAGTATTCGCTCATGACACCAGTCAGGTCCTCCCGAAAGCTTCCGGCCGACGGTGGGTATGAGTTAGCCAGAACTGCTAGAGAATTGGCCGTCGAAACCTGGATATATTGATCAAGCCCTAATTGAACCAGTGCTCCATGGATGCTGATCATTGCTGGGACAACATTTGCCATTAAAGTTGTATCTTCACTTGTGAAGACCTCATTCCCAACAGCGATACCAGTGATCCTCGTCGCAGGAAAGTATGGCCTAATGTGTGTGGCCACCCATTGAAAGGCTTGTTGTGGGTCGATTAGAACGTCAAGCATTTCATTTTCTACAGTCACTATGAGATCAACGCCTGAGTTTGCAAATGCTGTCAGGACTTGAGGATTGGTGTCATAGATCCTCGCTTTGCTGATCCTGAGTGATCTTAGGAGCTCCAGGACCTTGTCCGGTGAAGGAAGATCGTTGGCAACTTGGCCGTAGTTGATACCTAGTGCTGCAACTCCTCGTAGAAAACCAAAACCTGTAACACCCAGCATCAGAAGAGTTAATTAATTCACCATTCCAGATGATCATCAGGAAAAATTTGAGATGATGACACAGCAGTTAAAAGCTGACAGCTGGTGGACGGAACCCATGAAAGAGAATAAAGCAAATTAATTAAGAACAATGCAATGCAAGGGAGGGAATATATACCACCTGTGATTAAGACAGAAACCAAAAGAAAATGGTGAATTATGCTAGCTCTGAAAGCCATGCAGAGAGAAATAATGGAGATGGATGGATAGAGAAGAAAAGGGAGTAGAGAGGGAGAGAAATATAATAGCTAGGCAGAGGTTGGGAATTGGCCGGGATGGAGGAGAAACTATGAATTCCTTTCTTTACTTGTTTGCACTTTCTGGGGTGGGCGTTTGGGGGGGTTTTGGGTGTGGCTTGCCTTGTCAATTTTGCCTTAGCACTTGCCTCTTAACTGGATTTTAAATGGCTGGATTTTTCTCATGTTCTGTCTGTCGACGGCTCCTTTTTTGCGATTGCTGGTATCTTTCCAACGACGCCACCTCCCCTCCTCACAGTGGCTCACACGCGGCCTAAACGCTTGCTTAGTTTCATTACCAAACTAACCCCCCACCAAACGCTTCCTTCGAACAAAAGAAATACAAAAAGCCCACAAATATGTTTTTAGAACTGGGCGCCCTCATAATTTATGTTTTTTAAAAAATTGATGAATAAGTTAGATTATTTAATTCCATACTAAATATCTCATCTTATATATCTTATATATCTTATATATATCTAGGGGTGGTCTCTCCTTTCGCCAAATGGCAGCCCTTTAATATATATATATATATATATACTTCCACCAGGTTGACGGTTTAATCGTTTGATTCGAATGAATGACTCATTGTAACAACAAAAATTACAAACAAAAATTATTGAACCATTTTGGCCTCGGTTTTTGGGTTGATGGTTCGACCATCTGGTTCAAACGAACGACCTATTCTGACAACAAAATTTATAAGGAAAAAATTGAGTGTGTGAGGTCCATTAAGCATTACAATACGTGTTATGTCATTCAAGTAAGTGACTCATACAACCCGAAAATGGAACCATTCTGACCACCGGTTTTTGGGTTGATAATTCAACCGTTTGGTTCAAACGGATGAACGACCCGTTTTGACAACAAAAATTAAAAAAATAAAAAACGGCCAAAAACCATTGAATCTCGGGTCAATGGGTAGTTGATCGATTCAACGGTTTTTGGCCAAGGACCGGGATTGGGGTAAAATGGAACCGGTTGCCTAGACGGTTCCCAATTAAAAAATAATAAATAGCGATTCAACTGTCCAGTTCGATGGACGACCCGTTCTGACAAGAAAAATTACAGACAAAAAATTGTGTGTGAGGTCCATTAAACAATATCATATGTGTTATGTCATTCGAGAGAGTGACTCATGCGACTAAAAAATGGAACCGTTCTGGCCATCGGTTTTTGGGTTGACGGTTCGACCGTCCGGTTCAAATGGATAGCCCGTTCTGACAACAAAATTTGAAAAAATAAAAAATGGCCAAAAACCATTGAACGGGTCAATGGTTTGACTGCCTGGGTCAATATGTCGTTGACCGGTTCAACGGTTTTTGGAAAGGAGCGGGATTGGGATAAAATGAAACCGGTTGCCTAGTCAGTTCCTAATTAAAAAAATAAAAAAATGGTCAAAAACTATTGAACGGGTCAACAATTCGACTGCCCGAGTCAATGGGTCATTGATCAATTCAACAGTTTTTGCCCAGGGACTGGGATTGGGGTAAAACGGAACCGGTTTCTTATACGGTTCCTGGGCCGAAATGTCCATCTGTTTGATTCAATGACAGTTCGAAAACCAGGGTTTTTTGTGCTATTGGATTTTCACTATTCAAAGGTTTCTTCTACTGTTTGTTTTATTCGAGTGTGTGTGGTATGCTCCTTTTTTTCATTTTCTGCTTTTGTTTTGTTTTTGTTTTTGTTTTGTTTTTTTTTTTTTTTTT